ATTATATCACTAATTGTGTTTTATGCGTTTACATGTGTTTTGTTATGATTTTGATACTTAAATTACCAAAGAAATACCACTCAATAAAACAAGTTATGAACCACCAGCAATTTCCCGGGAACAGAAGTATCTGCTCTTTACAATAGACCATTTCAAACAATAGACATTCACAATGGTTGACTGAATATAGATGACCTATTTAGGAATACAATGAAGTCACGCAGCCCTGACCTGAAAACAACCTGGCTAGTGTTGACCAAAAGTCATAAATGTTCATTGTGAAAACACAGCATCTGGATACATGAATTTTGAGAAATATAACAGGAACAATTGTTCATTTAGGGCAAGAATGTTTACCAATGAGCACACAGACAATAGCCCTAGCTATTAATACTCAGCTAACATATTCATACTATATATAATATGAGCACGGGAATCAATTTAATAAATTTTGCAACTACAAAAGCATAAAAAGAATTAACCAGATATCAACAAGTTATAATGACATATGATATGGATTGTGATTTGGGTAGACTGTTTGGGAGATATTAAAACAAATGACTTACTACCATGATGTACCTACATCAGAGTGTGGAGAGATATGAGATATCTGATATGATGGACTAAAATAACGCATGAGCATCATCCGATAAAATGCCATGACAAATTGTGGGAATATTCTCTTAATATTTACCATTTTCAGAATACAAGACAAACCATAAAAAAATAATTCTCATCTAATAAGGATAGTCCACATACTTGAACCAACTCCAACAAATGGACATTATTGAGAGGGATATCGATGAGAGCCACTTTAATATTTCATGAAGACATATATTTTATCAATGCAATACTCCTTAAGATCATACATAAACTGGGAGATTACTCATAACCAAGTGATTACATCTTCATTCATGGAACATGACTGCCTCTAGTGGACAGGTAAAGAACATCCAGAATAAACAGCATTCTTGGCTGTCCAATCGTCATGTACCATGGGTGGATCCAGCAGACAATGGATCTTTTTTTTTTTTTTTTTTAAATGAAAGAGAAATTGTATTTTATTTTTGGTGCGAGATTGCAGTTCACAATGAGGATGCAAGAATAACCTTATTCATTTTGATAGTATAATTTCAGATTGAACTGATGGTACTGTTTTTTTTTTTAAATTTATATATTTCAATCTTTTATTAAACTTTTTTTTTCCGTTATAAAAACACAGCAAAAAATCATTTACATCCAAAATACAAACATTCCCATATATTTTGCAATCCCACCTCCCCATTACCCCCCCTCACCCAAACCCCCTAACAATTTACCCCGGTCCATATAGCTTTTCCCTTCTCTTTCCTACTTTCCATTCTATAACTATGATCTTTCTCCTCGATCCTCACTTCCAACTCTTCCTTTTTCTTACTATTCTTTCTTTCCCTCCAACCTTTCTTTTCTCTTCTCCTATTCCTGCTACTGCCTTACAAAACATTCCCTTTATTTTCCTACCTCCAATTAGATCCCTGGGCCTCCCACTACTTCCATATATTTTCCAGATGCCTTGAAATCAGACCATCTTCCAGAATCCTTTCTAAATTTACCCATATTACCTTTGTCTATATGGTATAACTCCTCCATCCTGTTTATATATTCCAGCCTGTCTAACCAGTCCCTCATTGTTGGAGGCTCCTGTGACTGCCAAAAGTTTGGATTGAGCCCTTTAGCTGCAAGGATTAGATGGTATAATACACTGTTTTTATACTGCTTCACTGGTGCTTCTGTCCTATAAAACAAACACACCCAAGACAATGGATCTTCATAGTATATATATGCAGGAGAAAGGCTTAATAAAAAAAAAAAGTTTGAAAACGTTAGAGAATGCCTAAAAAAAACTGAGCCAGAAAAACCCTTAAAGAAAAACTTGGAAAGAACCCTGAAAAAACTTACTTAACCCCTTGACGCCGACGTTACACAAATATGCGGCCTCACGGACCTGGGCTTTTTTCCGTGGGGCCGCATATTTGCGTACCTGTCTTTGTGCTGGGAGTGCGCCGCTCGGCGCGCTCCCAGCACCAAGACCGCGGTGTCACTGAGAGCCCCGGGTCCCGTTCTAACGATCGGGACCCGGGACTCCCGATTCCGGGTCACGTGATCGCTGTGATAGCCTCTAATTGGCTATCACAGTGATCAATCACTGTGCAGCCCGGCCCCCTTGTTTTCTCTCTTTTCTATGAATGGAGAAGAGAGATACATTGTATCTCTCGAACTCCTGACACAGAGAGAGAAAAAAAAAAGTTTGTAAAAAAAAAAAAAAAGATAAATAAATATTAAAAAATAAAAGAAAAAATAAAGAAAAATACCTAGATCAAGGTTTGATCTAGTTCAGTACCAGGGTTAGTGTTTGGGTCAAGGTCAGGGTCAAAGGTCAGGGTCAAAGGTCAGGGTCAAGGGCAAAGGTCAGGGTCAAAGGTCAGGATTTTTTTTAAAAAAAATTGGTATCAGTGTCAGTTAGTGTTAATGTCAATGTCAGTGACAGTGTGTTTTATATAAAAAAAAAAAAGACAAAAACAAAATGCGCACTGTTGTTTCTGGACTGTACTACGGGTACAAACAACAAATAACATACACATATATGGTATCGCTGCGATCGTCAAGAACTGGAAAATGTATTTTGAGTTGTTCTTTGGTGGTAGGTTATGGTCGTAACAAGAAACACACAGTTAAATTTAAAAAAATGATTTTTTTTACTATTTTGGCCCAGTTTTCCTTTAATAATAAAAAAAAATTAGGAGCTATCCATGACCATTTACCACCAAATGAAAGCCCAATTTGTCCTGAAAAAAACAAGGTATAATCCACCTGGATGTACAAAGTAGTTGTGACGATATGTACGGTTTTACTAACACGTCAACGTTGCAGAATTGTGCTTAGGCATTTAGATTTGTTTTACCCTTAGGCGTGAAGGGGTTAATAAGCTGACTGGAGATACTTTGTTGAAAAACCGTTTGCCTGCTTAAAAGATCCTATTTTTGATCTGAGAAAACTTTTTTTTTTTTTTAATAACTATTGTTTTTTTTATTGGTCATTTGATTGTTTACAACAATTAACAGTATTGTCACAATAATGTATTACAGATTTGTAAAGGATATAGATAACAGAGTATGAGCATATTCAACATCTTACAAAATTCAGCTTATAAACAATGTGACTTTGTAGTCATTACTGTCATCAACACATTTCTTTTTTTTGATGAGTATGCATTGTTTGTTTGAAATATTCAGTATGTCATTAGTTTAGAGAAAAAGGAAGGTTGTGAGAAGTGGAGATTAGAGATTAGAGAGAAGTAGAATAAAGAATGAGATTTGAAATTATTACATATTTCCTTTTTTTGGATAATAGGGTGATAATAATAGAGTGGAGTAGCTGTATCTCTAGTGGTGTTTGATTGGTACATCCTGTAGTTTCTTATGTAACTGTACATCGATGATCTTTGAGCCATAAGTCCCAGTGTTTCCAGAATTTAGCTGATGAGTTGTGTATTTGAGCAAAGGTTTTTTCGAAGGCTGTGTTTTTGTTCAGGATTTCAGTTACTGTGTGAATGGATGGCGTTATAGTTTGTTTTCAAAGCCTGGCAATACTCAATCGTGCAGCTATCAAAATATGCATTAGTACAGTTCTGGACTGTGGTGGCCAGGAGTCTATTCCTATTCCCAAAAGTGCCAGGGCTGCTGAGAAAACCTTTTGCCTGCTAATACAACTTTTGCTTGCTTCCTGACAAAAAGAAGACTGCTGATCGGAGAGACTGCTACTTGAAGAGAAACAACATTTTCGCCAACCTACTGTCCTATCCAAAGATCTCAGAGAACGCTATATCTGGGAATGGTGAGATATTGTGGCCAAGTATCAACATTTTTATTCATTCAAAATCATTACTAGAACTTTACTAATATTTTATGGTGCTGTAGTACTGCTATCGTGCATAGTGATATATTATTACATAATTGTATGGATCTGATTGAACCCTTGAGATTGGATGGTGTATAGGTAGATTAGTTGCTAAATTACCGTATTGGGTTGTTTTGATAGTAGAATAGAGTTTTATTTTTTTTTTCCCCTCTATATTGGTATATTGTAACGCATTGTTCCAAAGACACATTTGAAGTGTTTCACTGTGTATTATATCAGAAATATTTTTCCTAATTCTCTACGGCCGCGGGAATTGGGAACAATATACTGAATACTAACAATTGATATTTGCTAATCACTGAAAGATCAAGGTTTTGTTACTTTACTCTGTTATGATATATATTTTGTGATTGACCTAATTGAAATTCATAGTAGGATATTCTTTGATTGTGTGTAGGAAATACTCATCACCAATAAATTAGTTTGTATTAAAATATATATAAAATATTTCTTGTATATAAAAATAAATAAATAATTTATTTCTTAATCAAATTGGCAATATTTGTATATTTGGGACAGAAATCACATTGGTAAAAAAAACTCAAGAAAAATTACAGTGTGGTGATATTTTTTAGTCAGGTGTCTATGTTATTCAATATTGTTAATTACATTATTTGCCGTAACATCTGGACGCACAGCGTCATAATTACCGTATTTTTCGCTCCATAAGACGCACTTTTTTCAGTGAAAATGTCAGTGCGTCTTTTGGAGCGAATATGGAGTGGCCGGTCCGGTATTTCCACCGCCGCCGTGTCAGAATACCGGGCCGGCTGCTCAGCTCTGCAGCAGGACCTTACCTGTTCCTCGGTCCAGCGCTGTACAGTCTTCCCGCGCCGGCTTCTTTAGTGTGGGCTCTCGGCTTGACAGCCGGGTGCCCAGTGCACATGCGCGAGAAGCGCTGCACTTTGTGAATGGTACGGCGTCTTCTGGGACACATGACAGGTCCCAGAAGGCGCTGGACCAATCACAAAGCGCAACGCTTCTCGTGCATGCGTACTGGGCACCCGGCTGTCAGCCAGGTGCCCACACTAAAGGGACGACAACTCCACAGAAGTGGGAGCAGGTACCTGTCAAATTCAGGTACCCGATCCCCCTCCCTCCCCAAAGGTCAGCAGTCTCCTGTACTATCTGCAGTCTCTGGTTATCTCCTGTACTGTCCGCAGTCTCTGATCATCTCCTGTACTGTCCGCAGTCTCTTTGTCATCCCCTGCACTGTCCGCAGGCTCTGATCATCTCCTGTACTGTCCGCAGTCTCTTTGTCATCCCCTGCACTGTCCGCAGTCTCTGGTCATCCCTGTACTGTGTCCGCAGTCTCTGGTCATCTCATGTACTGTCCGCAGTCTCTGGTCATCCCCTGTACTGTCAGCAGTCTCTGGTCATCCCCTGTACTGTCTACAGTTTCTGGTCATCCCCTGTACTGTCCGCAGTCTCTGGTCATCCCCTGTACTGTCCGCAGTCTCTGGTCATCTCCTGTACTGTCCGCAGTCTCTGGTCATCCCCTGTACTGTCCGCAGTCTCTGGTCATCTCCTGTACTGTCCGCAGTCTCTGGTCATCCCCTGTACTGTCCGCAGTCTCTGGTCATCTCCTGTACTGTCTGCAGTCTCTGGTCATCCCCTGTACTGTCCGCAGTCTCTGGTCATCTCCTGTACTGTCCGCAGTCTCTTGGTCATCCCCTGCACTGTCCGCAGTCTCTGGTCATTCCCTGCACTGTCCGCAGTCTCTGGTCATCCCCTGTACTGTCCGCAGTCTCTGGTTATCTCCTGTACTGTCCGCAGTCTCTGGTCATCCCCTGTACTGTCCGCAGTCTCTTGGTCATCCCCTATACTGTCCGCAGTCTCTGGTCATCTCCTGTACTATGTCCACAGTCTCCGGTCACCTCCTGTACTGTGTCCGCAGTCTCTGGTCAAACTCCTGTACTGTGTCTGTAGTCTCTGGTCATCTCCTGTACTATGTCTGCAGTCTATGGTCATCTACTGTACTATGTCTGTAGTCAATTGGTTCAGAATATTTTTTTTTCTTGTTTTCTGCCTCTAAAACCTAGCTGCGTCTTATGGTCAGGTGCGTCTTATGGAGCGAAAAATACGGTATATACAGGAGTCAGACACCGCCCAATTTATTTATAATTAATTATCACAAAAGCACACCACAGTTTGTAATTTTTTTCTTGCACATTTATATTGGGTTATACACATTTTAGTTGTGCTGCACTTTTTCCATATTTACGTCAAATTGGCCTGGGCAGGAAGGGGGTACAAGTGCCCGGTATTGATACGGTTCAAGTTAGAACAAATAGATATGGAGAAAACTTTTTCCTCCGGAAATTAAAGTGGAATTGCACTGCATCTGGGCATCACAAACCAAACATGTTATTTATTTAATTTTTAACATTCAAAGCAAACTCAACCATCCATCCATGTGTCCATGTTTTATTTTGCTGAGAAATCATTTTGAAAAACACCTCCTGGCATTTCTGGCAGTGGCCATCTTAAATAAGGCGCAACGCTAAAATACTAAATGAACAATAATTAATACAATATTAATACAACTAAAAAAGATCCTATAGGATCTAGAATAAAGTGCAGAAAATAAAGTGCAACCTAGTGAATGAATCCAATGGGTCACAAAATGAGACCCTAAATAAAGTGAGAAAACAATAAACCATCCAATCCAAAAAATTGGGATGATACACACACCGAATTGTGTCAACAAAGTGAATCCCAATACTGGGATAATAATAAAGTGACCAGTGCTTATTCACAATACATACAGTGTATACACAATATATAAAAAAGGTGCAGCGCTAGTAGATGAAGATACGTATTACATATGCAAACTCATATAGAAGTTCAAAGTGACATAGTGCATACAGTTATAAGCCACTACTTTGTGTCTGGTAGAACGTGAGGAAAGGATTATTATATCCAAACGAAAGTTCAATGTGAGGATGTGAATAAATTCTCAAACACTCTGATGCTTTCCAGGCAACACCGACTGTGTATACGGTGAAAAAATGGGGGTACAAATTGCGCACTCACCAAATGCGCAACCTTTATGCGCTTTTCTCTAACATATAAGACCTCCAATCCCTCATCCAGGGTCTGGTCAGATCTGGTCAGGTCCCCTTCTTAGTCCAACACCTTGCAATTAGCCTTCTCCTTAGATGATCACCACTCTCCAAGACACCTAGCTCCCACAGGAGCTCAGAAAAAAGCAAAGGAGGCCAATAGTGCAGTATGTCTTAAGGGTACATTTATTCCCACGCACAAACAGCAGATACAAGGTATGGAAAAAGCAAAATGAATACTGACCCTATATGAAGTTACCGCCGGGCCCCTCGTGGTGCCGGCGGTGTATGCGTCAAACAGCTGAAGCCTGACCCAGACGCGTTTCGAGCGATAGCTCTTTGTCAAAGGGTTTTCGGCTATGAGCTGCTGACGCCACTCTGTCATTTAAATAAGGGGAATAATGCACGCATAGTTAACATGCGCCATTTTCCCAGAGAAAGATGTCCTCAAAAACGGGCGCCATTTTGGCGTAGTCCCTGTAACCGCGCATGCGTGAGCATAGCGTCGGAACAGGGCGGACATCTGTATACGATCACCGAGGGAAAAGTGTTGCCATGGAAACACGATACACTGAGTGCCAATATGAAGGTCATTCTGAGCCAATGTATCAATCAAGCAATATATTGCATTAGCTTCCATATTTAAAAATAAAAAGATCAAATCAACTTATACAGCAGGAGGCGGACTTTATTAACCAGGTCCTCAAATCTAACCATAATTTATTGGGCCATATCTAAGTAAATGGCAACATGTACCCTAGGTGATCCTCTGTATCCAATATAGCAATAAAATTCCTATCATCATATGTTGACATCAATACAACAATAACACATACTGAATAATCATGGATACATCAAAATTATATACCCATCATAAAAACCCATGTTATATAACTTACATCAAATCATAATGTTATATAACGTGTATCCAGTAGGGGTATTCTCCCATAACATTATATGCAAACGCAATCATATGCGAAATTACATAATAAAAAATATCAATATACCTTATAAGTTATAGCAATCAATACTTTAAAATAATCAATACCTTAAAAAATATATATATAATGTCTCTTAAATACATCCAGACATACATATAAACATATGCGAGAACATCATACAAGTTTGGGCATTAACCCAAAGTTATAAAATATACCTAAAATTATCTTAAAAAATCTAAAAATCCATGACCATAGACTTCGTCATAACCAGAAATCAGAAATAAAATAATAAATGCCCTATTTAGCATATACATAAACGCAGGAAAAGTTCAATATCAGATTAAATCTATGAATACGGAAATATAGTAAATCTCTACCAATCATAATTTATTAGCTATTATCTATGAAGCAGTTCAAGTCTAACTCTATGTTGAGCCCCTTAGGACGCATAGAGTCCATTTTGAAAATCCACTTGGTTTCCATCTGTGACACTACTCTCTTCTTATTGGTGCCCCTCCAATGCAGTTGGACTGCATCTATTCCCACAAACATCAAAGATGATGGGTCCCTATTATGATGTGTTCTATAATGCATAGAAAGTGAATGGTCTTTAAAACCTTTCTTCACATTATTAACATGCTCCCTGAGTCTGTCTTTAAGTTTCCTAGTCGTGCGTCCAATATACTGTTTCTTGCAGGGACACTGCAAGAGATAAACAACGTACCTACTATTGCAAGAAATAAAATTCTTAATCCTAAAGGTTTTTCCTGTAATGGTAGAGGTAAAATCCTCAATTTTTTGTTTCCTTTTACCATTACAAGTGCATATGACACACCTATTACATGGAAAAAAAGCCTTTTATATCACCAAATAAAGATACAGACTGTGGAGGGTTGATAACATTTGGGGCAATAAGGTTTCTCAAAGTCTGTGCCTTTCTATATATTATTTCCGGTTTATCCAGCAGAATCTTTGTTAGAACTGGATCTGCTTTAAGAATTTTCCAGTTTTGATTTATTATTTTAGAAATGATTTTGTATTGTCTGGAAAACGTAGTTATGAAAGGGCAAACTTTAGGATTAAGAATTTTATTTCTTGCAATAGTAGGTACGTTGTTTATCTCTTGCAGTGTCCCTGCAAGAAACAGTATATTGGACGCACGACTAGGAAACTTAAAGACAGACTCAGGGAGCATGTTAATAATGTGAAGAAAGGTTTTAAAGACCATTCACTTATAAGGTATATTGATATTTTTTATTATGTAATTTCGCATATGATTGCGTTTGCATATAATGTTATGGGAGAATACCCCTACTGGATACACGTTATATAACATTATGATTTGATGTAAGTTATATAACATGGGTTTTTATGATGGGTATATAATTTTGATGTATCCATGATTATTCAGTATGTGTTATTGTTGTATTGATGTCAACATATGATGATAGGAATTTTATTGCTATATTGGATACAGAGGATCACCTAGGGTACATGTTGCCATTTACTTAGATATGGCCCAATAAATTATGGTTAGATTTGAGGACCTGGTTAATAAAGTCCGCCTCCTGCTGTATAAGTTGATTTGATCTTTTTATTTTTAAATATGGAAGCTAATGCAATATATTGCTTGATTGATACATTGGCTCAGAATGACCTTCATATTGGCACTCAGTGTATCGTGTTTCCATGGCAACACTTTTCCCTCGGTGATCGTATACAGATGTCCGCCCTGTTCCGACGCTATGCTCACGCATGCGCGGTTACAGGGACTATGCCAAAATGGCGCCCATTTTTGAGGACATCTTTCTCTGGGAAAATGGCGCATGTTAACTATGCGTGCATTATTCCCCTTATTTAAATGACAGAGTGGCGTCAGCAGCTCATAGCCGAAAACCCTTTGACAAAGAGCTATCGCTCGAAACGCGTCTGGGTCAGGCTTCAGCTGTTTGACGCATACACCGCCGGCACCACGAGGGGCCCGGCGGTAACTTCATATAGGGTCAGTATTCATTTTGCTTTTTCCATAATTGTATCTGCTGTTTGTGCGTGGGAATAAATGTACCCTTAAGACATACTGCACTATTGGCCTCCTTTGCTTTTTTCTGAGCTCCTGTGGGAGCCAGGTGTCTTGGAGAGTGGTGATCATCTAAGCAGAAGGCTAATTGCAAGGTGTTGGACTAAGAAGGGGACCTGACCAGATCTGACCAGACCCTGGATGAGGGATTGGAGGTCTTATATGTTAGAGAAAAGCGCATAAAGGTTGCGCATTTGGTGAGTGCGCAATTTGTACCCCCATTTTTTCATCGTATACACAGTCGGTGTTGCCTGGAAAGCATCAGAGTGTTTGAGAATTTATTCACATCCTCACATTGAACTTTTGTTTGGATATAATAATCCTTTCCTCCCGTTCTACCAGACACAAAGTAGTGGCTTATACCTGTATGCACTATGTCACTTTGAACTTCTATATGAGTTTGCATATGTAATACGTATCTTCATCTACTAGCGCTGCACCTTTTTTATATACTGTCTGTTGGGAGGTCTTATATGGTGCCTTTGGTGTACAGCTGCTGTTGCTTTGGAAGGCGCTCGCTTATTTATATGTTTTA